TCTGTAGTCTCAAGCAACCATTAATAACAGCGAAGTTTTTCATACAACTCTTTAAGGGTCTTTATCTTTTTAGAGAAGCTTCCTCCAGCGATCCCTTTTTTGGCTAACAGCTAGAGACAGTCTGGTCTTCTTGCTATGGTGTTGTCACTCGGAGAGAAGGGATGCAGCTTCCATTGACCATTATTTTTCAGGCCAGTAGTAAAGGCCAGGTGATGATGCTTCATGCTTCTGCAATCCCAGGGCAACTTCTTTTCTGTTAAGACAGGATCCTAACCATAGATGCAATAAATAAAAATGTTTGGTAATTAAAAAACATTTTAAAATCTAATTCCATAAATAACTTTCTTCTATAAATCTGATTAAGAATCTATAAATCTAAGAAAGACTGTAGTTAACAATAGCCAATATTTTACTGAGATTTTTTGAAATAGTAAAACTTAGTGTAGCTGAAAATTGATTTTGTTTTGTGATGCTTAAAAATAACTCCCTTGAATTTGTGTCAAGGGCCAATAACTTCCGCTTTGAAATGAAAACTTGTTTGTAGACCTGGAAGAAGAAAACCTATGATCCCATTATACACAGAAGAATTTTTTCCCCTGAAATACATACAGCAGAAAGCCATTCTGGGGCAATGATTTTTTAATGCCGAGCACATTATTCTTTTGTTTGATTGTTTGATTATTTGTTTGTTGTTAGCCGCCCTGAGCCTGGCTTCGGCTGGGGAGGGCGGGATATAAATAAAATTTATTATTATTATTATTATTATTATTATTATTATTATTATTATTTTGAATTATATTTTTCAAAAATACTTTGCAAGTCCAATCTAATTAATTGAATTGATTTTTCAGAGCAGTGATTTAAAAATATTATCAATATAAATACATTCTGCATAACAAATGAAGGGAGGGGTGGCACTGTGGTCTAAACCACTGAGCCTCTTGGGCTTGCTGATTGGAAGGTTGGCAGTTGGAATCCATGCAATGGGGTGAGCTTCTCTTGCTCTGTCCCAGCTGCTACCAACCTAGCAGTTTGAATGCACACTAGTGCAATTAGATAAATAGGTACCACTGTGGCAGGAAGGTAAATGACATTTCCATGTGCTCTGGCTTCTGTCACGGTGTTCCGTTGCCCCAGAAGTGGTTTAGTCATGCTGGCCACATGACCCAGAAAGCTGTCTGTGGACAAATGCCAGCCCCCTCAGCCTGAAGAGAGATGTGCATCGCACCTCATAGTCGCCTTTGACTGGACTTAACCGTCCAGGGGTACTTTACCTTTTTTTTTAACCATTCCATAACAAACATTTAAATTAAAGTTCTTTGTCTCTATGAAGCCCTACCCCAAGTACTATTTTTGAAGATGTAATTTCTGGTCTTTTGTCTGGTTCCACACTTGCTATTATTTCTAGAATGGACAGCATTTTCAATTACTATGAAGAATCCAGATGACTATTTTTTGTCAAACTATTGTGTTCCAGTATTTTATGTGTTGTCTTCACATAAGGACCTTACCTGTGGCTATTTTGTATTAGTATTGGTATCTGATAAGTATTAGGCTAGACGACAAACACTTTGACCTAGACAAGATAACAAATAGTCTAAACTTCCTTAAATTAAGCTAGCCTAAATTACCCTTATTCCAAGCTCCGTTAAGGAGTGATGCTACTCCTGGCTGAGCTGTTCCAACCCTGACTGAGGGAAAAGAGGCCTTTAAAATAGAATTTGATTTGCACTACCCTTTTTGCCAGTATAAGTTCTGCCAGGTTGCCGGGTCACATGACTGAGCTGAAAGAAATTTGAAAGGGTGTAAGTATTTTCTAGCCCTCTCCCTGGAACACTTTTAAAATAACTTACACTGGCATAGGTTCCACTAGCTTAAGTTATATAGGCTGAATTTCAGCTGAGCCAGCATAGCCCTGGCTGAGCCAGGCTAAGATACTTACACTGATGTACCCCTGACTGAGCTGGAATGGGGGAATCGTGCTGGTATAGCCCTAGCTTAGCCAGGACAGCCTATTATCTTCTTATTCCAAACTTGCTTATCCTGGCAGATATCGGGTTTGCATTACGTTGCAAATTATTACTTTGGAGTACTTAAGATGCTTTAAATGTCACCAGCTCCCAAACAATAGGATATGGGCTGCCATAGCTGACTTCATTATGCCCCTGATATAAAGGGAATATGCTTAAACTAAAACTTGCATGTAATATGGGTTCTGAAATATAAAAACGGGTTTTCCTGTGCCTATGCTATAATGGCAATTCTAATACAATATAAACCAATAAAATGTGCACTGTTTTCTCTGTGCTGAAGCAAATTGCATTGTGTAGCTTGCAACAAGCTTAAGCCCCCTAGAGTCCTATGTTAATAGGATTCTTTGCAAATAAAACTCTTCTGTGAGAGCATAAGTAGACCATCTGTTTCTGCCCTCTGTGGCACTGTGTCTGCCTTCCAGGACCTTCCTGTGAAGGTCTGCTCCTTTAGGAAGGAAGCATGATCTACTCGGGGAAAGAGCACAGTATGTTGTTGGTCAGAGGACCGGCAAATGTCAGGCATGCCTTCAGAAAGATAAAAATCTCTCCTTTCTTCAGCAGAAGGAATATAATTTGCCAATAAATATATAATGGACTTGCCACTATAAGATAGACATTGGTATTTTGCCAGTCACTGTATAAGATAAATGTTATATTCCATTTGCATTGTGGAGGTGCTGTGCTACGCGTATCAATAACATAAGCAAAACATGACAGTAATGGGTAGTTGTTGCTACATAGCTGCTATCATGTGACACCAGGAAACACGGACCTCATATTGTAAAAATGTACGAGATGTAGCAGTGCTGTTTTCAGAATTTATGAACAGCATGCTGGTTCAAGGAAAAATAGGTATAAAAGGAGAATTCCTGGATGCCAAGATCCAAGTATGGGGCAAGTGAGAGAACTCTTTTGTGATTCAAGGACCCGCCCCCCACTTGGGGAATAATAAAGACACGTGGACACAGGATATTAGGTTAATGGGCTAGAAAAGGCCACAACTTTATTGATTACAGCAAGTGAGAAGGTATTGGCTTAGGCATTGGACAACTGCAATTTGACTCCACCCACTCGAAGAGGGGTGAGTCTGACAAGGGGGAGCCTGTTGATGCAAATACAACTATAAGCTCTCCCCTGATGTCACCGGGGGTCGTGCCATGGCCCCCCGCCACACAGGGCATCGGACAGGATCCAGAACCGCCGGATTCCTTTAACCGAATACCCTTAAGTGAAGGGGTAGGCAATGGCCACACCTTGCCCTTCCATACACCAACAACACATTCCAATGCCTAACTGCCAAATACCAAGAAAGTTGTGACGATTGCTACGAGGTAGGCGAAAAAAACCAAGAGGTGCCAATTTGCCAAATGGAAAAAACTCCTACCAGGCCCCCTGGGCAAGCAACCATGGGTCCATAGCAAGGTCAAGCGAGAAGCTATGCACTAAGGGAGTGGTGGGTGGGTGACCTGTGGAAAAACAGCTACACAATGGTGTGGAGAGCTGGCGCGGCTGCATTTGAGTGGCTAGACCACGCCCCCACAGTGTCTCCCACCCAGGAGGCGTGGCGCGCCAGCGATGATGTCAGGGCAGGGGGCAGAACGCCCCCTGCGTGACGCGGGAGTCGGCTCCCGCTCACAATCCCTCCCCTCTGGAAGGAGGAGAGGCTTTGTGAAAGAACCCCAGCAGAGATTTAAAGTCACAAAGTGTGCAGGAAAGTAAATGTGAAAATATAGGCTGTTGGAAAATATGCCCTTTAAAGTGAGTCCCAAAGTTTCCCTCTTTCTCTAGCATAGAAAATAATCATAGGTTTGGTAAGTTAAAAATAATTTACTTACAAACTCTCTAAGCACAGATTCATGTTATTTTCCATACAGCATTCATAAAAAATTGCACATGCTGTAAAAGTTAGAGAAGCACTCCTTGCTTCTTGTCTATAATCAAATAATAACAGTTGATAGCATTTATTGATAAAAAGCGATAGAAGTCTGTTGATTCTTAATAGGAGTCATGCTGGAGACTTTGGTAGGGCAGGATTTTATACCAAGGCAAGTGTTCCTTTATTTGCTACATAGTTATCAATGCAGAGAAGAACAGATTCCATGATTCCAAGTTTAAATATGCCAGACAATTTCCCTTCTTTGTACTGTAAAATATAAAACATGTCCTTCTAACCTACAAAATACATTAATCAAGATGTATAGCTTATATTTCATGACTGGTCAGTTGAAGTGGTGTTGTGATGCACACTGGACTGCTAGAAAAGATACTTGTTCCACAGGAAAAGTACCTGAAAACATGTGTTCTCATATTAATGGAGTAGTTCTATAACCTTGTAAAAAAAGAAAAGTGTGATTCAGGTGTTGCTATCACTGATCTTGACAATAACATGATTCAATATTGTCCTACAACGCATATATTTTATTTGCCCATATTTTCTGTTAAAAACAGCTGAGTGCCATACATTTCACATTAATCTCACCCTTTTTTATTTGCAGCATTTAGAAGGGGGGGGGGAGGAGATGAATGGAAATGCAGCATTAGTCACTCCCTTTTGCTTTATTTGATCTCATGCATGATGGTAGCATCAGTATTTATTGCCAGCCATTGTTTCCTGCAAAAAAAAATATATCCCTAGAAACTCCCTCTGTGATATAACATCATGCTTTAGTATTACACACAGATAACATCTGATGGGGGAGGAGGTTAGTGGCCACCAGCCAGTGGTTGCTAAGATGAGTGGCTGCAGTGCACTTTTCACTGTCGCCAACCTTTTACTCTAATTCATGTTCTCTCCAAAATGAACCCTTTAATTGTGAATGTGGTGGCAAAAACAGGAGGGGGCATTTTGGAACAGCCTGAGAGGGAGCTGAAACTTTGCAACAGCAATGATTTGAAACTGAGGATGTAGCCACAGGAAAGTCCATAAATTGAGCTCTGGGAATCTGATGTGAGCCGTACGGTCTGCTAATAGGGCTGTATTTGTCTTCACTCTGCTCCACTTGCATGTTGGTAAGCAAATATTACAAGATACTGTAAATCTCCAGCGCTTCCTCGTCTAAAAGAAATGAAACCATTCCTTTAGATGAGGGAACGTTGGAGTCTTAGTGTTTTGCAATATTTGCTTACCAATATGCAAGTGGAACAGAGTGAAGACAAATTTAGTGCTATGAGTGCTGTCCTTGGTACTTCGCATTGCTTGGGGGAAAGCATGGCATAATTGTGTTGGAAAGCTCTGTAAAATTTGAAAATTGTCAACTGTAAATGTTTGCCATTACTTCCATCTCTGATGAAAAGCAGATCATTAGTAGACTTATAATATGCAGCCCAATCATATGCACATTTACTTGGAAATAAGTAACAGTGTATCACATATTTAGTTTCTGCTACTGGCCAGAAGAAAAAGGGCAGCACTAGACTATCACTCCCTGTCTCTTTCCTAGGAAGAACCCCATGCAAGGAAGAGATCATTCTGGAGTTAAGTGAATATTAGGGATAAGGGAGAAGTGTGTTTGTCCTTGAATTTTAATGAAAAACTACCTAATACCCAATTTTTAAACCAATATTCAAAATTCATATTTGTCTGAATTCACAATGCAGTTCTTCATCCAAAAATGCATATATTAAGAGAAATTTGCACTAAAATGCTTCTTGAGGACTTCTTTAAAAATTGCAAATTGTTGCCAAAATGTGGAGAACTAGATTGGAAAAATGAGAAACTGAGAAAACCAAAACTGACAGACTTGTCCATCCTTAGTGGATATAAATGCCTGCATACAACTTATCACTTCATTCTGGCCTTCTTAAAGTGATCTCCTCTACTGTTCCCTTGTCTTCCCTTGCCTTTTAAGCATGTAAGCCTGAGGGCATGGCCAGTATCTTATTTTGTTAAAATTTGTGATCTGCTTTGAGAGATGACATATGTCTCTAACTGCAGAATAAAAATATAATTTGATAGAGTGGGTAAATGTTGCACCTTCAGTTCTACGTGGAACAGGCTTCCACGAGAGGGGATGGAGTCTCCTTCCTTGGAGGTTTTTACACAGACATTGAATGGCCATCTGTCATGTATGATTTAGCCGTGATTCCTACATTGCAGGGGGATTAGATGGCCTTTGGGGTCCCTTCCAATTCTATCATTCTTAGTCTGCAAACCTCCCCATCCCCAGTAGCTACAATATTTCTAGGGTAGGAATTGCTATTAGAGATGGAAGGGTCTGTCAGTTTTGGTTCTCTTAGTTTCTCATTTTTCCAATATTAAATTCAATTATTTACATTTCTACAGTTTTGTAGCATGCAGTTTTGACTAATACACACATTGTTGCTAGCAATTTCTCCTAAAACAATGCATTTTTGTATGTTATTTTCACTAATATAAATTCCCCATATACATGCTTTTTTGGGGTAAACTGACTGGTTGGAGAACTCCCTTCCAAAACTCAGATAAGTGCAAATTTTGAAAGATGGTTGTGTTTTGGTTCTTGTGTTGTTTCAGAAAGGGATAATTTGATAAATGCAACTCTAAATGTGAACTGGATCAAAATTCTCCGCAATCCCCAATCCTATACACTTTAGGAAAATAAAATTTAATTCTAATATTCTATTTTTGTACAGTTCAGCATGTTCCAATCCTTCCAATTAACCAAACTTTGATTTGTAAGTGTCTGGCATACTGGAGTTTAACTGAGTTATTAAGGAAGGGAAAAAATCTGCTAGTTTCAGAAGATGTCTGTCACTCAATTGGAACCCTATCAGATTTTTTTTTTAGTTGAATGATGGTCCTGGCACATGCTGCAACTAACATTTTAGCACAGTCTGAAAGCAGAAGTCAGGCCAAAAAATAATTTTCTCCCAGTGCCCTTATACTTTCTATTTTTAAAAAACCTTACAAACAATTATTTACATGCAGCACAATCCTATGAATGTTTCTTAAAGTTCTGTTAAGATCAAGTAGACTTACTCTCAATACACTTATCAGTGAGTAAACCATTTTGAACACAGTAGGGTTGGCTTTTAAATAGCATATCTAGGATTATGTTTCACATTAGTAATCTAGCAGAGCACTGCTCTGATTCATTTTCTGTTTGTCATTAAAATATATGCTTCTGATTAAGACTATAGATCTATTCAATAGTTGGTTTACTCACACGCAAAGAACATGGGGAGAAGGATCAGGGCAACATGCACCATTTCTTCCCCCAATGCTCCCAACCTGCTCCCCACTTCTGATGAAACACACATTTGAGCATGCTTATAAACATTCCTATGATCAGGAAGTCTGAATTCGCTTAGAATCTCCCTTCAGACTTTTGCACTGAACACATGAAGGTGCTGGGGTTGGACCCCCTCCCTCAACATATTTGCTGAACATTAGTAGATATAATGACTAAATAAGGCTAGTGTCAAAGTCCAGTTGATTAATGAAATATGCTCAATTCTGTATATACAACCATTTCTAACACTGTATTTTTTCCTTTTGCATATTTCAGGTTTGTTTTTCAAATGGCAGGGCAAATCTATAATTCTTGTACTGCCACCTATATCCCCTCCCCTTTTTGTTCACAGAAACAGCTAATCTGCATTTAATAAAAGACTTTGCTAACCCTGACCACCAGGTAGCTCACATAAGCCTCATTAGCTTGTAGATTGCTTTCAGCACCTCTCTGAGACAAAGATTTGTTGGTATGCAGCTCATATTTCCAGGCGTATTGGCTGTGGCATGGTGCAACATAAATAACACCTAATAAGGTGTTATACGTGTAAAATAACATTAATAAGGCTTTGAACTAAACACAACTGGCATTTGAATCTGCCAACATGCTACCAGCAACATACTTGACTTAGTAGCAGTTATATATAAGAACTCATAACAATGTGATCAGGAGTAAATTTATATTGTATTTATTCATTGCAATATTTGGAATAAATGAACTTGTTTTAGAACATTACATACTCTAACTCTGTAAGTACAGTGATGAAATATTATTATTTGGTTAGGGATTATTTCTGTTTTTCTAGTAACATTGGCTGAGTCATCTCCCAGTCTCCCTTTGAACACAGCATGGAAGAGATATTTTCTTTGGTATGGTAAAATACAGACGTCAAAGCCTAATTACATCATCCTAGAAACATCTTAGATCTTCATGATGGCACCCTTGTTGCTGAGGTTCCAGGGGAAACAGTAAAAGGCGTATAAAAGCAAATGGAGCAATTATGATCTTACATGCTTCATGTCCACCTCATGTTCCATTAACTATACAGTTTCTTAAGTAGGCCTCTAATATGGAAACAGCACATGATAGGTCTAAGATCGTGACAATTTGCCTTTTTCTAAGCAAGGCTTCCAAAAAGATGTAGAAGCATTTTTAGAAGCCAAGTATTTTTTTTGGGTGGGAAACCACACAAATGGACTAGTTATTTCTTCCAAGTACAGAGTGATATCATGGTGACGAAGACTCTCAATGGTACTAGTCACTATGGCTGTGTTCTACTTGCACTGCTGGAGGCAGTATACATCTGAAGACCAGTTACTAGGAATCACAAGCAGGCAGAGTGCCATGGCATTTATGTGCTCCTTACGAGCTTCCCACTGGCATCAATGTGAGAACAGGATGCTATTCTTATGTTTCAGGGAGTAGCAACTAACAAACAGATGTTTTTTCAATGAGATACTCGCTTTCATTATACCGCCACATATTTTTATAAGGGTAATTGTTTCTAGCTCCACAAAAGGTAAACAATTTGTTTAGGGGGGAAATGGTACTAGAAGGAACAAAGAACTATGAGTAGCATGAAAGACTTCGTGAATGTTCAGCAGCAGAGGCAATGCCTCTAATTCATTGTTTTCAGTTTGCATCCTGTTCTATTCTGAAAAGTCAAATGATGTGACAAAATGTTTCATAATTGTTCTTTTTCACCTGATAGGGCATGTATGAATGGGTAATAGAAAAAATACTGGGAAAAAGATAATTGAAGAACTGCCTGTGTTCACATTTACTTCCCTATACATTAAGATCTTTCAGAGGTTTTGCCTGTATTCGCTTTTGACTGTTTCAGTCTTTCTGGTAAAATGCCATGACGCTATGCTTGAAGGGCAGTTTAAAAATACAATTATTATTATTATTGTTGTTGTTGTTATTTCATATATATCTCATTCTGGGTAAATTTGCCTGGTGGCGTGTGGCCCACCAAGGAGCAAATGAGGCAAATTTCTGCCCATGTATTGGCTCCTGTAGGGCCTTGCAGGAAGGGGAGGGGGAGAAGCCTTTATAAGCTTCCCTGCTCGAGAGTTTGGTGCCATTTTGCCCTGTGAGATTCCCATCCTCTCAGCCTTGAGATAGAGCCTACACTGAGCAATCTGGGTCACTGGTTGACAGGACTGGAAATAATGTGTATGTAAAAGAGTGGAAATGGCACTGGGCAGGATTAACTGGGCAGTCCGAGGTGGGGGGAGGGGCATTAGGCCATGGCATGCTCCAAGCTTGGGTTGGCGTCTGCCTGCCTGGAATCCTTATCTGGGTCACCCAGTTAGACCTTGCCAACTTGGCATGCACCATGACAGGATTCAGCACTGAACAACTCCCATTGAATGGGTTTAGTGCGGTCCATCCCCCATTCCACCAGCAAGCGGTGAGTGGAATGATGAGTTGATCCTGGCCCTACTGCCATGCCAACCCTTACCCTGACTGCTGCAGTCAGTAAATATTTGGCCTGATTTCATCCCAATACCTGGTGTCCTGTCTGATCATTTGCTACTGTGCTGGGTCAGAGAATATGCCTGCCAGGGCAATTATATACCACTTTATACCAACGCAATCTTTAAGTAGTTCACAAAGTAACAAATACGATATATGTCACAAACAATGGAAGTGAAAAACTACAACACCACGCCACAAAACAACCCAAAAATAAACAGGAGCACCCAGAATGAATAAATATTTAAATAATGAGTTAGTCCTCAGAGTTGGAAAAGTAAACCATTCCTTTAAGGCTGCAACCATGAACACATTTCTCAGGAGAAAGTCTCATAAACACAAGTGGTGGTTGCCTCAGAGTGAATATGTTACTAGGTTTGGCCTACATGAGAGATGGCTGAAGTTAACACAGAGAACTGGTCCCAGCCATTTGCAGCCAGCAGAGTTAATAGATGGCTAAACTGCTTTGCAGGAGAC